TAAAAAACACATAAATAGGATCATAAAAATAAGAAACCATATTAATTGAGAGTACAGATGATGACTGCTAAATAAAATAATAAATAAGAATAAAAATAGGTTCTTGTTAGTTGTATCAGAGTATTAATTAAAGTAGATATATATATATATACTGGACATCGACTATTATTATCACAGAAATTGACCCATGTAACCAGTAGTCTTGATAAGTTCTACTAAATTCTGGGAAAATGAATAGCAATCGCCAGTGTATAGTAATACTAAGGCTAATATAATCGCTCGAAGGTAAGTAACTTAAAAATAAAACATATAAATCAAGTAAAAGTACGTGACTCGACTAAGGGCATTAAACGCTAAGATAACACCACTATCGTTTCTGTACTAGATAAATGATTAATAAAAAAAAAAAAAAACAAAAGCATGAAAATGAAAATACAATCCCTTCTAAAGACAGAGTAAGAGACAATACAGACAATAATAGAACTAGTATTAAATAATCTAACACAAAGTGGCGTAATTGAAGACTAGATATATTTTGCGCCAGACTTCAGCCAAATTACAAATACCACTATAATAATACAAGAAGACAACAGCAGATTAATTAAACTTAATAAAATTAGGTAATTAAGAAGTAAAAATACATTTTATAGACAGTACTACAATATAATATCATACAGACAGATATAAACCATAACAGAGGTGGTCTCACCGACAGACGAAGGCCAGAGACCGATACGCTCGTCATATATGTGTGTGTACTGGTTAATAATACATAGATATACCACCCTCAAGGGAGCTAAGGTAACCGAGAACGGCCATCTTTCTACTACCATGTGTACAGTTTGTAGTCGTCCCCCCGGTCTCTATGAACTTATTTGGTGGGTTTACCCGGGGTCTTTCAAAAAAAAAACGATTTAGCAGTTTATTACAGTTTGTTATAGTGAACAAAGCGTAGTAAGCACTATCGTACCCCATGAATAAATTGAGAACAATAGAAACCTAAAGGATTTCAAAATCAGATTGATTGGGTAGTAGGTTCCAATACAAAAGTGATATTCATTTTATACAAAAACCTCGGTGTATATTAGAATTTACAAAAATGGTACGCAAGTTAGTCTTAAAAGAAATTTTATTTATTGTAGTATATAACTTAGACTGCATAGATGTAAGGGTTGACTGTCCAAATAGTAATGAACTGCTTTTATCTATAAAAAATATAAAAATATAAGAGGAAAAATCTTCGCCTTCTATACCAAGTAAAAACAAGACCCTTTACAGGTAAAGCTCGGACTTTGGACTTTTTGTCGCCGAGCCCCAAATTGTCGATTCCTAGAGCCCTTGTAGAGTTTACATTCTCAAAAGAGGGTTTTATTAACATGTATTTATAATTAACGACTAAAATACTACATAAAGAGACATCCCAAGATCTATTAATAAATAAATATAGCCACGAACAACAATAAACGTATAGAGATAAGAGACTAGACACGATATATGAATGTTAAAGGAGTTTACTTAGCAATTCTTACATTTTTCTTTCATTCTGCTAATGACCATATGATTGAGTGTGTAACAGTTAATGCTGCTCCCGAAAACCTCCCTGTAGTGTAAAACACATCTAGTATTATTGATCAATAAGGACCACTCAGTATGTCCACTGAAGAGTATGGCAAGACGAGAACAGAGAGATTAAAACCCTTCTTTGCTGAAATGTGCGTATCACCGTGAAGTTATTCAAGTTTTCCCTTATGTATGCACACGAAAAAGTTTATTACATACATGTGGATCTGAATTCTCGAGTATGTACAAGTAGTTACTTAAACGAGTACCAAATTTGCAATACGTTTAGTCACCAGAGACTTCTTAAATTATTCTCTTCTTACTTGAGTATTAACGTTGTCTTTTCAGTTTATATCTTAGTCTTCAGAAGTACAATTTATTTTTAGCTACACCGACTCTATATCTCTTAACCGACATAGTGCGTCGAGAAATAGTCATAGCCACCTTTTGATTGATATTTGTGTTATTCTAGTGTTCGATAAATCTTGAAAAGTGGGGGACGTGTTACTTTATACTCGCTCGGACCTCTTTCAGTTGACCCTTTACTACCATGCTAAATCGATGCGTGACCATATATGTAGAAATATAACGAAATTGTAACTGAGGAAGATTATGTTAAACTCCCAACTAAACAACAGTGAAGGATGGAAGAGAGGTAATCCGTCAACTCAGACAGGTGGTTGCTATGGAGGTACCTGACCTAGTCACTCCCATCTCGGAGGCTCGGAGTCGTAACGCTGGGACGCGAAGACACACAACACAGAGTAGGAGTTATGATCGAAATGTGTTACTTCACTTTCCAGATTTATGGTTCACATGGAGATCAAACCAAAAGAGAAGCAGGTCAGCTGATCAGCTGCTCCTGGAGGTACCGAGGTCTAAACGGAAGCTCAGAGGGGATAGAGCCTTTTCCGCTGCCGGTCCCAAACTGTGGAATGGCCTCCCATTGACCATTAGACAAGCCCCTTCACTGTCCATTTTTAAAACTCGCCTAAAAAACCATTTTTATTCCTTGGCTTTTAACCCAGCATGAGACTCTGTTTCTGTTTGTTTTTATATGCTTCATTGGTTTTGTTGTTTTTATATTGTTATTTATTGTTGTTTTGTTTTTGTTTTTTATGGCGTGTACAGCACTTTGTTTCAGCTCCGGCTGTTTTGAAAAGGGCTTTATAAATAAAGTTGAGTTGAGTTGAGTTGAGATGTATTTACCACATACTTTACAAATTCACATTTTGATAAGCAATGTATATAACACTTTCAAAATATGATTATTTGGTATAGATTAAAGAATCCAACATCATAGTATATTTAAGTAACTAGCCATGAGTGGGTTAACAGAAAATCTAGTATTTATTTGGCTGGTTTTGATTTAAAATATAAACATATTATATATTGTATTTTTCCTGCCTGGAGTACTTTTACTCGTAATACTTTAAGTACATGTTCCTAATTTAATTTACATAATTTCACTAAGTAAGACTCTTTATGCAGTACTTTTACTTTAAATTTAGTATTTTTAAAGTGTGATATCAGTACTTTCACTCAAGTAAAGACTCAAGAGTACTTTTTCCACCACTGATTATTACGTAGGTTGAACCAAGGTCCCGAGGTTCACCCCATGCATATCAAGCTAGCTGTCAGCCACCTAGCAAAAAAGCTAACAATTTCCAGCTTGAAGGAAGCTAATTCAAACTTTAGCTCGTGTTAAACTTTATTTCTGAACTTTCTCTGGGAAAATAACCTTGGCAAAGACAGTCTCAATGGTAAACACACAACTTAAAATGTCCTAATCAAAGTCCTTACCTTCGCGGTTATTGCTTTTGGAGTCAGTGAATGGAGCAGATTTTAGTAATAAACTTATGTCAGCTTGACTTGAAAACTAATCAAAAGTCGACGGATTTCAGTGTTAACAACAGTGTGAGTGACACAACGGGGCAGAACTGAGTAGCGCCAAGAGATAATATCCCTGAGAACAGGAGAATATGCTAACAACGTTTAAAAGCTAAACTGAGAAATAAATTGGTCCTCAGTTGTCAAAGGGACCAGAGAGGATGATAGTTTGGTAACGCGCTTCAGGATGCGCGCCAATCGTTCAGCAGGACACTTGCACGCGGAGACGTGATAACCAATCACGTAGCTCTCCTTCTTCTTCTACGTCAAATTAATGGCGAAACTACCTCAACCATAAACCCATAAACAAGTTTAAAATGAATGAACATGAAACAAAATACAGGAATGAGATAAAGACACAAATCAGATGAAGATAAAAACTAAAATAACAAATGAATATAATTTGCAATAATTGTGTATTGAAAAACGCAGTATTTATCTTTCTCTAATTGAAATGTTAATCATTCAGATTAATTAACAGTTGACACTTGGTTGGATTAGATTGGTCTATATTTGATCATATTTGTTTCATATTTCAGTAAATGATATATTACTGCACAGAATGAAGCGACAGAGAGGCCATGGAATTGTAAGGATTTGAATGTATGTTTAATGAGCATTGATAGAAGTTAGCAGCCTCTGCAAATGGAGAAAGCACATTTTTATTGTTATCCTTAAACGAAAATGCATTTCATGGAGAGAAAGAACCAAAATGTAGACAATGAAACATATGTTATTATTTTCATATTCTTAATAATTGTTCCTTTTTTTCCTGTTCATTTGAATTCCTTTGTGTGACGGGATTGAAAAATAAAAAGGCCCAAAAGGAAATGTTACTATATGTTTTTATTTTATTTTATTTGAGCTTCTACAGATTACTTGCTGTTTTGATGAACAAATGCTAGATATATAAATTAAAAGCAAACCAACACATCACCAAATGTCTTTATATATATTGTCAAACACAACATCAGTGATATGTTTTTCTACATCATAACGATTTTCTGCATATCACTGCAATTGAAAATAAACACTTTCACATTTATTTTGGCATGGCCCTAGAACTAAAGAGGGAGATATTGTTTTGCAGGCTATAAAAAGCCACCTGAGGCCAGCTCTAATTAAGCAAATGAGCTTATAGTCTTACCAGTAGGTGAGTTTTACATGCTATAATGTGACATATGCGCATGCTGAGGAGTTCACAGAAAGCCCCACTAATCCGTTCAGCTGTGTGTCCTTTGTAAGACAGAGAAGGATGAGTTTCAGAGCACGCTTCATGGATTTTTTTATAAAAATGGCCATCGAGCTCTGGATTTATTTTGCCTATTTGACAGGTGGGAGAGATTTGTAAAATGGAAGTATCAATATTTATTTTTTGTAGCATCCTAGTGGAGAGGGATCTTGTCAGACTTGACAACCTCAGCCATCAGAACATGTCAGATACAGCAGGTGGCTAAGTACCTTGGCTATTCTTTGCATCATTCACTTCAGTGCGGAGTTGGTGTTTCATCAAACACACACAAATCGGCTTGTATTTGAAGATATCCAAAATGGGCTGCTCACCATCCAAAGGCAACCATTTTGGGGTTCTGGGTCCCATGAGGAAGGGCAGAATGCTTCCTCCTGCACCTCAAGAAAGCCCCAGAGATTCCCACTTTGATGATGCAGAGAAGCGTTATTCAACTGGTTCAACAGATGTGGACACAAAGGAGAGAAAGGCAGCTGGACAAACCCAGGTACTTCAGAAAGAAGCTCGTATAACACCACAAAAAAAGAGATATGTGGCAGAGCCAGCCCCTGAAGCAGTAAACATGGATAAAGCGGGGAGTCAAGGAATGGACAACAACACAGTTTCACAGAAAAAGGACAAAAATGTTGACAAGCAGGATGCAGCAGAGAAAAAGCCTGCCAGGAAACAAAAGAAAAATACCAGAGGTGTTAAGGGGCTTAAAAAGAAAGACAAGGAAAAACCACCTACAGAACAGAAAGTGGACTTCCCAGAACCTTTGGTAAAAGCTCACCAAGCTGCTTATGCCTTTTTAAATCCTAGCATAAACAAATATGATCTTCTGCTAGGACTTTTGGAAGAAGCAACCCAAACTCAGCTTTCTGTGCAGACTATGGTTGCTTTTATGGCTCTACGCTACGAGGAAATAATTCAGGGTCTTGAGGAGATGGCAGATGAGGGAGAACAAGTTTTTAAAGAAAATGGAGAGCATCTTTCTTGGCCAAGTCAAATTAAAAACCTGTCATCTTCCCCACCTTCAAAGTCTGGTTCTGCTAATATTGAGCCCCCACCGGATTTGTTGCAGCAGCTGCTTCAGTACACCACACAGAGAATGCAAAATGTAAGCCAGACTGTTGGTAGTATTGCGGAGTCTGCTTTGGAGGAGGCAGTGGAATATTTTGCATCTGTCTCAGAGCTTTTAGAGGAGAAACTAAAAGTTAAACGTACAATAGAGACCAGGCTAATGCGAGTCTTGTCTCGTATTGAAATGGCCTCTCTGCGCAAGCCTGGGCCAGAGGATTCTGCTCTCTTTAGCGAGGACAGTGGTATTGGGGCTGAGAGTGAATCCCTTGCTGGATCTGAAAGACGCCTTAGACGAGAGAGTTGTGCGTCATCCGGGACAAATAGAATGACTCCTGTCAGCCCAATGGAATACAGCTCCATGAACAGTAGGCAAGAAGCATCCAGGCAAAAGATTGGAAGTCAAATAAGTCCAAGTGTTTCCCTCACATCACTTAACTCACTGGGTTCAGCTTGTACCATAATGGCTAATAACAAAAGAGACTCATTGCTAGGTTCAGTCTCTTTAGATTTTGGAGAGGATGACGACAATGATGATGATCATGATGATGATGATGATGATGATGATGATGATGATGAACAGATAGGTAGCTGCATGGTAGATGTAGGGTTTAGAAAGCGATCAAATTCTTCACCTTTAAACCGGGAACAGCTACAACCACGCCGTCTACCCCCAAAGCGAATAGAGAATCCTCAAAATGTCGAAATGACTCTAAGAATGAAAAATGCTATAAGTGGTAGGATACAATTTGTCCCATCGCAGAATGCTGGAGCCAAAATCAAGGTAGTTGGCAGCCCAAAAACCAGTAGACGCCAGTGGACAGACGAAGAAAGGTCTCCGAGGAGGCCTCAAACCACAGCACCTACTCGGAAGGCAGCGGTAAAAAAGACCCCTGTGTCTAAAGAGCGACGTTCCCAATCAGAAGAATCCTTGCGGAGCAAAGCGGAAGATCCTACTCTGCTTGAACTAGAAAGGACACAGAAGGATTTAGATCAGAGGTTGCAAAGAATGGGTAAAAGCAAGCCAGGAGGACACATGAAGACTGCCCCACCGAAACAAAATCAAGGAACCTCACCAGCACAATCTCCAGCAAAAAATCGCAAACATCCCTCACTACATAAGAACAGCAATTCCCAACTAATTGATGACAAATTAGTCCTTACAAGGCGCAACAGTAAAAAACTGGAGGCAACAAGTGCGGTGGAAGATGATAAACTGAAGGACAAGAAAACATCTAAGGGTCCTATAAAAGCCACCCCACCCCCTAGCCCTCCTGCATCACCACGGCCACCTTCAGGACTCTACAGAGGCAGGAAGTCAGTGAAAAGACTGATTGATACCTTCAGTCAAGGAATAGAGGATCTAGAAGTTCCTAAAAGTCTTGGGCCTCTCATAGGAGTAAGGAAGTGTGGCGTTCCTGTGTTACCGGGTTTAGGAAATGTAGAAGCCGTGCTGAGCACCGGAATAACCAGCTGTAGACCTGATTCCAGGTCATTTGAGAAAAACAATTATTTAGATCTGGAGAGCCTTCCTCCACCTCCACTGGAAGTATTAATGGACAATTCCTTTGAACATGCCCAGAGTCTATCATCTGGTGTATCCGATGAATGCGCTACAAAAGTCGGAAAGTCACCTCTATTAAAAAGGGTTCCAGTATCACAACGACTGAGGGCCTCTGTTCAGTCAGTGCTGCCAAGTAAAGGAGGCCTTCCACAAACTTCCAAGGTAATTTCAGTTTATAGACCAGATCAACCCGATGCATCTACTTTGTCAAAGTTCAGCCAGCCAGATGTCCAAATGGAAGCAGACCCGGGAAAGGAAAAGGATTCCTTGTACCAGCAAGAGAGGAAGATCGTACACCTAAGAAACTCTTCAGACTCAAAACGATTGTCAAAACATTATGTAGCAACAAACCTATCTTCCAGTCAAGAAGAAACAGCCGACATACAAGATGGAGGCAACCTTTCAGTGCCTGAATCTAACACTACAGTGCCTCCTTACATAGTGGTAAGGAGCCAACAACCAGCAACACCACCCTTGTCTAGGGGGCGAATGTTACCCTCCACACCTTCTGCAACAAGCAGTGTACATCGAAGACTTCCCAGTCCCCATAACGTCAAAAGACAACCTACTCCGCCTTCTTCAGCAAGCCCACCTGTAAACAAGAATCTCTATACACCACCATCATCACAGGGAAGACTTTCCAGCCCACCTGTAACAAAGCAGAACTTTTTCAAATCAAATTCATCCTCCTCCTACCCTTTCAAAGCACCTTCTCCACCAGCTTCGCCAAAAGTACAAAGATGGTCAAGGGAGAACAGCAGTGAAGATTTAACTAGTAGTCGGATGCTCAGTAATGCACGTTCTGTCTTCGGCCCTTCATCCCCATCTCTGTTTGAGGCCCAGCCTTGTCCAGTTCCTCATCCCCCTCAAGCGTGGACCTCTACAAGGGTTTCTTTTCTCTCACGTTCTTTTGAGAATCGTGGGAGGTTTCCTGTGTCTGCTCAAGGACCTCGATCCTTTATCCGGCGTAGCCATTCGGACCGAAGGCCAAGTCTGAATCAGCCACCAAGATCCCCAGGCATCTCGGTGGCTGAGACTTGTGGGAGTGAGCCATCATTAAACTCACAGGGGTAAGTGTTTATGTTTATATTTTACACTTCCTAAATCCTTAAATATAACTTCTCATTCAATCTTTTGTAGTGGTTTTATTTTACTTTTTTTATGGTAAAGTGTTGATTTCACTAGCTCACTGTTACATTGCTGAGTTACCTCAAACATTTCTGATGCACAGAGTTCACATGTAATTGTAATGACTACATGAACTTTTGATGCCGATCAAGGGGCTGGTGGAAGTTATCTTTAGCTTTATGCACATAAGAGTACATTGGACAGTTTCGCTGTACTTAATTTAGACAGAAGTATGACATGGTCTTCAAATGTAAAGACTATAGAACAAGGATAAAAGAGATGTGTCCCCGTATTTCATTCTTTACAGTACTGATTTTGCAGTTTCCATGTCTGTCGATAATGCATTATTGTACATTTTGATTATGTCAAGAACGATTTTGTCAACAAAATGTATAAAAGCGGAAGTGTCTTATTTTAAGGAGATCCAACAGTGTCTCATTTGAATGAGTTTCACACCACCTTACATAACACAGTGACTCACTGACTTCAGGCATTTCACAAGCTAATCCCAGTCATGCACCCTTTCTGTTTATAAGTGATACAAATTCACCTTGGCCACCTCCCTAATTGCTATTGACAACATTCTCCATTCATTTTTATAGACTGGAAGATGAACCAACCAGATATGAAGAACAATGGGGGAGCCAATCAAACCTCAGAACTACACTGCGCTCTGCATCACACCCGGACCTGTGTGTTGTTGGACAGGCCTTGCACATAGACTAAAGGAGCCAGTGGGATTATGGATTAGTAGGTTTAACCAGGGATTTAAGAAGACGCTGTTTATGCTACTGCAGAGAGGAATAGCTAATTCTATCCACACCTAACACACTCACACTGTTTATATCTAGTGTAGTGAAAAGGTGTGCATCTTTGCATGCATTCGTGTGCACTCTGCACATAATTCTGCTCTTGTACTGTGAATTATATGTATTAAGAGAGGAAAACGTTTTATACACAACTGCATGTTTACATTATTTGGAACTATTTTAACTGACTTCATTATAAATAAAGCTTTGGCATTTAGATATTACTAAATCAAAACAGCAGTGGCATTTATAAGAAAGATCACACGATTGATGAATCATCCGTTCAGTAAGTAATTTGTCTCTGTGGTCATATACTACACGGCAAGCAATACATAAGGCCACCCTCAACCAGTATTTCAATATGTGTTTTTAACCATATTTATTTTTCATGTTGAATTTTTACAATGTTTTTTAAGAATACAAATAAAACACATTACAAAAAACGTCCTAACTTCGTTTTTTTCGTACCAGAACAATATCTTCAAATCCCTTAAAAAATATTAAAAATGAAAAATGGTTCTTAGGACATCGTTTAAAGTTGGTTGCAATAATAACAGCCACTTGTGTCAGGCTGATGAAGGACCTGAAAGTGAGATTATTTCCTGTCCAGCACCTGTGACCGAGTGCTGGGCATGTTTTCTGTTTCTGCCTTTTGATAGAATCATGCATTATAAATAAGGCTGCAGGCACAATTGTTTTTTCCTGTATTGAATAAATCATCAGTTTATTTCCGACTATTTTAATCAATAATGAAATAATACAACAATAGAACACAGTTGGCAACCTAACACTTAACGTGATTGAATAACACTTGATCTAAGGATTAAAGGAAATAATACATAATACTTGTTTCCCAGCAGGGTAATACATGTAGTTTCTTTCAGAATCCATAGCATTATTTTTGAAATTGTAACCTACTGTACTGTTGCTACCAACTGAAAGTCCTATTTCTATCCCGTATTAGTTCAATTTTGCTTGCAGCAGTCATAACAAAAAGGACATACTTATTTAGTAGTCAAATAAAAGGCTGAAATATAATATAAGTTACTTAAAATTCAGTTCTAATTGTATAAGGATGTTAAAAGTCTGTAGATCAACCTAAGTTAGAATGAGAAATGTGAATTGCACTAACTTATTGTGAACTAGTGTCCTATTTCCTTTATTATGTATGTATTACTTGAACAAGGGTCCGTCCCATTATCCGTACATCACACTGTAAGAAAGTCATATAAGGATATATGATCGGTATACAACATTATTAATAATACTGTATAAATTACATCAAGTAGGAATGTGTGTAATGGACACGTTGCAGTGACAACTCAGCGTAATGTTAGACTATTTCAAGCGATATAAATGTATAGAGAACATTATCAACACGAATCAACCTACATACAATTAATACGGTCCTAATACAATTTATTTATGTCAAACATAAAGTACGAAAAAGCAAATAAGAATTTACCTCGTTGACAATGTTTGGTTCAAAAACCAAGATAATTTTCATTGTTTATTTTATTGTTATAGGTTGACGCGTATTATTTACATGAATATCAGGACTCCTCAAATGACAACATTTTTGCGGTTCAAATTATAGCGGTCCACAGGAAACGGTTGTAAATATTTACACNTGCATACCGCGTATATTGTGTATACCATGGATGATGCTCTACCTCTGTGATGTTCCCTTGGTCCGTCTTTTCTGTTCTTGTTCTGTCTCTGGTGTCTGGTTTGCACCAGACACCAGAGACAGAACAAGAACAGAAAAGACGGACCAAGGGAACATCACAGAGGTAGAGCATCATCCATGGTATACACAATATACGCGGTATGCAAACATTCCTGCACATACTATAATAACACATTATCAAATACGTAGTACATCACATTGTAACTTTATTTTTGATTTCAATTATTTGAAAGGGTGGAGCTCTGCAGCACTTCAAGTCACTGCCACAAAAGGGCCCCATATTTCCATGTAGATATCTATTCTATCCATCATTTTATAACATACTCCTATATAATCAGTATATAGGATATTTTGGCTATTTCGTCCTATCCATTCCTTAAAGTGGACCTATCATGCTATATTTGAATAATATAGTGTAGGACCAAAAGGCATATTTGTACTTTTTATTTTTCAAAATACCAAACAGATCATGCATTTTAGCCATTCCTCATTTCGCTCAATTTAACACGNCCTATATGTTTCATACTTTTTCTATTTCGTGACCGTCACGTTCAGTAGCATCATGTTTATAGATCTATTAAACGGTATTGTACTAGTCGTTGTAACACCTTTGGTTACTACTTTTTTACAATTGGAAGCAATAGTGACACCTGCAAAAACAGTATACCCAGTAAACAGTGAAAAGTAAAACGCTTATATTGAAACCAACACACACCACGTTTTCTCGGCTACAAAAAAACATTGTTTCCGATAAAAGTGCAGATAAAGACTTTTAAGGCGTTAAAGTTAAAAAAGTTTAGCCAGAAATTAAGTGACAACTTTGTTGTAGCTGATGCGTTTTTAATCAGTAGCTGGTTTTTACTTAGACTGTTTTATGAAACTATTTTTTGCTAATATAATTTTTCCAAAAAGAAAAGTGTTGAACAACACCAAGTTAGAAATTTTCGTTGAACGGCGCGGGATTATCTTTTATGGTTTTTATATTAGTAAAAGTCCTAAAATTGGGATATGTTCGGTAAAACTCTTTTATACTTTTGGCGATGACAAAAAAGAGACTACTTTTGTCTCTTGTTAATCAATAAAGGTTTGTTTATGTATAGACCACCTGACCGAGAAAAAAAAATATTGTCTAGAACCTATACAGTTTCGGGGGCTAATCGTCCGTTTTACGATAAAAAAAACGTAAATATCAAAAACGATGCTCGTTTAGTCGCATCTAACTTGTTTTCTTACCTTATCATTTATAATCTAAGTACGCCCTGTTTTACAGGGAAGGTTTCACAAAAGTTTCTATAACTTGGACGAATTGTCTATTATAAAAATTTGAAAAACCCCAATTTAGAAAGTTAGTTGAAGTCAGGACTAGTTTTTATGGGTTTCAAGCTAATACAAGTCCTAAATTGGGAACCTTGACGGTCAAACTTTGTACTTAAACCAAAAGCGTACTTTTTGTACGTTTTTTCGTCAATACGCAAAGTACTATACTACTTACCACTCAGCGAAAAGAAAAAAAAATAAGTGTCAGGAACCTAGTAACATGCTTTCTAAACTCGTTGTTGTAAATAAAACCACCTAATAATCAAAAACGTGTCTTAGTCTAATGCGATTTGTTTTTTTGAGTGTGTCAATCGCGGTGAGCACAAGGTAGTGAGGGTAATATTGGTGAGAAAAACTACGAGAGGCCGCGTCATCGGCCATATTTTAGTACGTAAAACATTACTGCGTCCCAAAATATAACCTCCTTTTATCAATTAACAGGACAAAAACCTAAGATATAGTGGGTCTACACTGTAAAATGGTAACTTAAATGTACGAACAGAAAGAACCAAAGAAACGGACAACATATTACCCCAGTTGTCGGGTAACCTTATGTACATACCGCTTGATTATACTACATTGCACACAAACATACCTCTACACTTCTCACCCATAAGTCGACTCCTTTACACACACACACCACACACACACACACCACACACACACATACACACAACACACACACACACACACAACCACACATGTACACCACACACACACACACACACACAGACAACACACACCTAACACACACACACACACAAAACCGACCTACATGTACACCCACATGCTCTCTGTTGTTTACTATCCGCATGTATCTAACACACAATGTCGTCGAACGGGGGTAACGGGGGAGAGAGAAAACAGGTGGGGCGTCGGTTTGGTGTGCAGCGGCATACGCTGCGCTTGCCAGTAGTACATTGTGTCTTCTTGCTACAGCTTTTTACGCCACGGCCGGCTCGGTGCCTCTCGCGGCGCGCGCATATTGTCGCACTTTTGGGCATCTTCTGGTATCTTTATGCTAACGAAATTTTAGCACGACGTTTGTGTTTTGTTCCTTTGTTGTGTCTTACCGTACTTCTGACCCAACGTACTCTCTTGTCGCTAATTTTAACTGCTCGGAGCCGGATGACTGCAAAATTCAGATTGTTTAGGGTCGGCTAGTTCACAAGAATTTTCACATACTTCTTCGCTCCACTAATAGTAATATATTCGTTGTGTATGGTACGTTTCTCTATCTCCTTTCCTTCTTGCCTTACTTTTATGCAAGTATTGTTTTGCATTGTACCCTCTTTCTATGCAAAGAACATATTATATACAATTATAACAAACATCACACACCTAATTAATTACATCACTCTCGGCAACACTATGACAAAACACATCATCAATTAAATACAAATGACAGGTATAGTTAAGGGTCGACCACCACAGCATACAACTACCACCACATAAAATATACAGAACACCACTCCGCTCACGTTACGACGAAGAGAAATCACGATAAAAAGGCCCAAAACTACAAGAATTAGTAACATATGATCCAAAGAAGATAAGCAAACACCCCACTACACATCTGTTTAACTCTAGCGTTCGCTTACGATGGGCGTCTGATAAAGTGTCGCCAAGATAGTTGGAAAAAGATTGACGGTTATAAGGTTCGGTGTGATTAAACATCAGATGAAGAAAGTAAAATTAACTTATTACATCCTTGAAAACAACGCACAGTCAACTACCCCTCTCACTCCCCGAGTCCGTTATGACTTTAGTAAATAACAAAGTAGCAAAAAAGGAAGATTAAAACATAAGAAAGATTGGTGTGTGACAATACATAAGTTGTTATGTGTATTAATAAAGGACACAACACCATCAACCCACCCCTTCCTTTTTGTGTTAACTCAGGCAGTCGGCCCCAGCCTCAGTCGAGTTCATCGCGCATCAACGAATGCTCTTAACAAGTGGCCTTCATCCAGCAAGAGAGGGCGGCCGGCGGAGCGAACTGTTCTGGGGCACTATCAGGAGTTCGAGACACTAACCTACAAACTCCACACGCTGGCTCCCCCATGCCGGGTACCAATGCGTCTCGCAGCTTTGTTGGAAACTTTACCCTACCTTGTTCCGTCTACAGGTTTTGCCTAAACTTGCCCAGGTGGGGCCGCGAGGGAGGGGTCGGGCAGGGGTTTGATTTGTACGACACACTCACAAACACCATTGTTCATGCTGCTCACAGGCTGCTGTGTATATTCATACTCCTCACTGTTTATTCATCATTCAATTCATTCTATATTTTATTCTGTAGATTGTGTACATTACTTTTCACTTTACTGCTTGTTGCACTCCTGGTTGGAAGCTAAACTGCATTTCGTTGTCTCAGTACCTGCAATATGTGCAATAACAATAAAGTTGAATCTAATCTTGAGCAGGAACAAATGTATTTACTTAGTATATCTGACATTAACGATTAAACACATGTATGCATTCTTTATAAATGCAAACCGAGTCAAGCCGAATCCGGAGGTGGCGGCATGCACCTTAAAGTTGTTTGCAATCCGCCAAAAAACCGAGCGAAGAAGAAGAAGAAGAAGAAGAAGAAGAAGAAGAAGAAGAAGAAGAAGAAGAAGAAGAAGAAGCCGACTCGGAGCTGTCCGACTTCAGGCGAGCTTTTTGAGACCTCCCCCGGCTGCGATCGGCTATTCTCGTCTACTTTCGAGGCGAGCCGCAACGCGTCTCAAACAAGCCTAGTGACTAACCATCAAGCAACGCACTAGCAAGACGTTGATCGCAACTGCGCAGGTCTGCGCAGGTCTCGATTGTCTCAAACAAGCCTAGTGTGTAGGCCTACGCATGGAGTTTGCGTGGGACCGCACGTTTTCCCGTCAAGTTAGAATTTTATAAATCACAAACGTTGCGTAGAAACTGGCGTACGCCATTTGTTGAGCGTATATCCCTTTTTAAATGAGGCCCCTGCACTGTAAATATACACAAGTACTAAATATAATAGCACTAAATATGTATTCTTCATCAAATGATTGACCCAATATAATATATTGTACCATGTTCCTATAACACATCATTATATATACCTCATACTTAACATTAATTCCAAAAAAATTCTTGTACTCAACTTCTACACACTGCACACTTCTGAATTTCTTTCATTTTTATTTATTCATTCATTCTCTGTCCTAAACTACTTGCAAATCAAGCACTTTAAATGGAACATTTTATAAATGACGCAACCTTATTTTTAAACAATTATTACCAATTCTATCAAAAGCTTTCCCTGCGAGTGTGAGTCTCTTATAACCTCTATGTAATAAATATGGTTACCTTTTTAGGCATTTCCATTGGGAAAAATGATGTTCTGAGAAAGTACTTATTGATCAAGCAAGACAAATATTTAAGGTTGAGGCGTGTATATATAAATATACAATATTTTTGTGTTAACATTTTGTAAAGAATAATAAAGTTTGTAAATGTCAAACAGGATGGATCTGATAGATCTGTGTTTTTAAAAATAACTGCTATGTTTTTTAATTGTCAACTCCAAATTCCTCTTTGAAAACACAAAATAATGTCAATTATGTTGATAAAAAAAACTGTAAACCTGCTTGTCAACCGTTTCTATAGATATCTTAGAAGTAGAAAATTACACTAAATGAAAAATGTAAAATGTAAAACTAATATAATAGTGCATGTTCCATAATAAAATAAATACTCTTGTGCACACATGTATAATCTTTATGTTTTATTTTCTCTTACATTTAGAGTTAGGTACATAATATGCATTTGCTACATAATTTGTTCATATGTTACAGTTTTTGGGGTCATCTTTATCCAGTATTATCAATATATTCCACTTATGAACTCATTACATCCTTTTTTAACCCTCACCATGTTGCTGTAATGAAGTCGTCCGTCCCTCTGGCAATAAGGTATTTTACTTTGAAGTCCAAACGGAAGTAACGTTGAGGCGTCAACGCTTTTATTTTTGAAACAGAAACCGGAAGCAGTCTGTAAGTGCTTAATCTGCATGTAACTTTACGCTCGTACCGGACAGCTGCCACACTCTGGACTCGGACTGAGCCGAACTGTGTAAGTAAACCCACAATCCTCCGTTACAGCCCGCGAGCCGCCTAACGGTTACACCGAGCTGTACACAAACAAATGCTGTCCCAAAAATAATAATTCATAAATATGTGATGTCGAGCACAGCGGTAATGGGGGCGGTAGGGAAATCGGTCGATGTTCCTAGGCCTGTGTGACAACAGTTTGATTCGCACAGGCAATAATTGTGTTTAAATGGACTTATTTACCACAGTGATATATACGTGTGTGGCTGTATGGGTCCATGATTAATAATGCAAGATAACGTCGTCAGTAATGGAGCTACAGCAGTTAAATTGCAGTTCAATGAAATGTTATACAGCAAAATGAATATGAAGGAATGTGTAGTGTTGTGGATTTCCCTTATCGATAGTGTAGATAAACATCATCATATTCCTTTAATATTATCTAGATTTAAGACGTTTAAATCTCCAAATATTGCCATAGAACTGTATATTGAGCCTGTGATTTATTACCGTTAATAAATACCATTATGTTTGCTCCACTGGTTTACCCTTTATGCGCTTTTTTATTATTATATGATATACTTTAATAGTGTCTCTCTGATGTATATCTACTCAGTTAGTCGATAGAAATAACATGAATCAGCAGTTATTTTGATAATTGATTCATTGCTGTGATTTTTTTAAAGGAAACATTTAGAAATGTGATTGATCCAGATCCTGTAACTGGGGGATGTGCTGCTTTTTGATTGTAAATGGAATATCTTAAGGATTGTTAAATAATAATAAAAAACACATGGCAGATTATTAACAGTAATAGCTGTTGCCATACTACACGTTCATTATAGTGACTTTTTTGGACTATATGTTTCACCTGTCATTGTGGAGTTTCTGCATTGTCATTTTAATTCAGTATCTGTATGACATTTAAACACTTTCCAACAAGAAAATATGGTAGCCCTCCTAAATCATTTGTAGGATTAGTGTAGGTATGCGGTGTAAGAAAAAGCATGGTCAAAGGGGGGGGATGTGGGTTCCTTGGTAACAAAGTCTTCCTGATTTGAGAGTTTTTGAATGCCAGTTTCCCTGTTCATTGTCATTTGAATATCAAGCGTTTTTCCTTCACACACACGCATTACACTTCCTTTTGATTGTATAGTGTGAACTTTTTTCAGGTGTCTTCACATTGTTTTTGAAATCCCTCCTCTGCTTGAATTGACATTGAAAAAATATCTTTTAGGATCTAAATGGCCACAAAGGTGCAACATTTTCAGTATCCTTTTAATACATTGAGGTGTATTATCAGGCTTTCTACCAAGGCTGCATTGCAAAAACAGAAAATGTAGGCTGCATTCAAAGCCTTCTCCAGTTTTGTGTTTGAGGCGGTTCAGCTGGTCACCTGCTTGTTACAACGCGTTTATTGTGAGAGGGAAATGAAGGTTGTTAAAGGCATGACTCAGCAGCTGGACAGTTACTCATCCATATGTCGTACAGACCTTACAGATACAGAGTATTTAAAACGTATTATGACAATGTATGAGTTGAAATTTGTAGCCCTTTTTTGATTGTTTACGATTGGGTGATCGGAACATTTCTCACAACTCTATAGAAACTTTAAATCCTAAAAATCTAAACTTTTTTAAGATAAGAAAATTCAATAATTTCCAAAATTCACAACACGTTTTTATTTAACGACATATTCTGATTTGATCCATATGTGCAGGCATTTAGCCTTTTAGAAACAACATTTTAGATTAGATCAGATTAGATATTTTATAGTACTACCACTTTTTTTTTTGTCCCAGCTGCAAAAAACACACAAGAGTGAAACATAAAAAAGTATTGAATACAATTTAAATAGAAGAAAATAAAAGATAAAGATAACAAACACTTTTCACTGAGCTCAGCACACAAAGAGAGGCATTCACCTATATCAGCAATCTAACAAAATTAAAATGACATATGCAGGATGTAGCCACATAATAAAACATGTTTTTCTTTCCATTTCTAGACGTTCTGACGCCAGACATTCAAAGCTTCTTTTAAAGAACTCAATAGAAGCTTCACATGCATAAAAACGTCATTCTTTACAGCCTTTTTAATTAAATTGAAATAAAGCTGAGGTTGGAGCTTCCTATTCATTTAATTTGAAATCCAACTGAGACGAAAACAAGATGTATAACCATGATGTATTTTCATTCAGGTCATGTTATTGCATACGTGCAACCTCCCTGCAGGTTAATTAAATGATGCCCCCCCCCCCCCCCCCCCACAGCGTTCCTGTGATGCCCCAGGGCGGGTTGAGCTGCTCGGGGTTGCGATGCCTTATGTGGACCGACAGAATCGCATCTGCGGCTTCCTGGACATCGAGGAAAATGAGAGCAGCGGAAGGTTCCTGCGCCGATACTTCATCCTGGACACCAAACAGGGAAACCTGCTGTGGTTCATGGACAACCCACAGGTGAGGGAGCGTGTGTTTTGTGAGGGAAAGTGAATGAATGGGTGTGTGTACATGATTGACAGCTTCTCCCATGTGTCTGAGTTTATATAGGTTCTTCTTTGGTTAGTCCGCACTGAAAACATCTGAACCAACTGAGCACACTTGTGTTTGGTGGTATTAAAAAGAGATTGTTAGGGCGCTTTTTTTGAAGTTCAGATGCATGTTTAGTGCTCACCGTCAGGTACAGTGATGAATTTCCTGCCTTCCAGGCAGCTATTATTAACCTCAGCTCACAATGAAAGTCAACTAGCAGGGACTTGCAACTTCAGGGAGTTCTGGGAGAGAATGCTTGCTTTAGTTGCCTTTATTTTTTCAGCAAAGTCAGGTCGTTTTCAGGCATGCAGTTAGGAGCAGTAACTTCTTTAAAAGCCTCCATGGTGGTGCTTTCAAGGACTCGCAACACCTGGTTGTTGAATGCTGAAAAGGATTTCATTTTGAGTTAAAAAAAGGGAGGCTGTGGCTCAGTGGATAGTGTGCTGGACTTAGAAACAGGGGATAGCAAGTTCGAGTCCCACTGCCGTCAGATTGTCGTTGTGTCCCTGGGCAAGACACTTCACCCCAAATTGTTCCTGTGGGGATTTTCCACGGTACTGAATGTATGTAAGTCGCTTTGGATAAAAGCGTCTAACAAATGACATGCAATGTAATGTAATGTAATGTAATGTAATGTAATGTAATGTAAAAGGCTTTTTTTGTCAAACAAGCTGAACTAACTTAGTTGGGACTATTTTCATTGACGGATTAAAACATATTTGGTACTCTATTGAATTTTGGGGAGACAATAAAGAACATTACCTGCCTTTAAGAGGCCATATTATGCTTTTTAGGGTTCTTCCTTTCCTGTAGTGTGCAACATCGTTTTATGTGATAGGCTAATGGTGTGTTCACAGCGGACGCAATACGAAGATTTGCTGGTGAGAACGGTTGACCAATCACAACAGAGCCGGCCAATCAGAGGCTAACCAATCAGAGCAGACTGGGCTCTGGTTTCAGACAGAGGGTGAAAAGAGGTGCTGCAGCACAGGCAGTATGAGAGAAATAAAGAGCTTTTTCAACATTAAAGCATAGAAACATTTCACAGTAGAGACACTACATACTGATATGAAACTTGTAAATTAACATTGAACTTTTATAAATCCAACCGAAATGAACACTGTGATGCATTGCCTTTAACTCTAAATCACGTCTTTGAAAAAGCTGGTATCAACTAAACTGCTACCCCCTCCCCCTCCATATTTTTAAACTAATTAAATAACATTTCAATTAAATGGCATTGTCAAACAATAAGCTTCAATATATTCTAAAGTAAAAAAAGAATAAACCAAGAAACAGTTGGTAAGGCAGAGGAAGGTGGGGTGGATTAACATTTTGGCTGAAAAAGAAACAAGAAGTTGTGGCTTTGTTGGACAGAACTACACCTGACACATATTTTAGTGCGCTTGGTTGAAGCTGTATAACTCACTTGTGTGAGGAGTTTAATAAGACCTTATCAAACACATGCGAGTGGTGTGACAGAAAAACAGGAACCAGAAAAGAAACTGAAAAGGGTAGTAGTAGTAGTATTTATATTTCCCACGGCCGGGAAATTCCTCAAACGCTGCAGGGTTTTAGCTGCTGCCAGTGGACAGATTATTGATTAAGAATGCTGATAACTAATAATCGTAACTATTTTATTATTATATTCAATTATATTTGCAACAAAAACGTTTGAAATGTTTAGATTTCCTCTAATGTCAGGAAATGTGTTTTTCTTTAAAGAAAATTATGCTTTCGGCCTTTAGCAGTTACACAGGGAAATTAATACATCCAAATTAATGTGCAAATTCCAACTATAAACTTCTTGTTTTATATGCAAATATAGAAAATATTCTTATATATAAAAAAATGTATATCCTACATTTTACCAAGCCTTAATGCAAGCTTTTTTGATGGAATAAGTAGCAAATCCATTTTTGTTTTACAATAATGCTACCAATTTTACTTCTACAACTTCTACTAATATACATCTTTGTGTGTCTTTGTTTAGAATCTGCCTAAAGGTGCAGAGAAGGTGGGATCTCTCAAACTTACCTACATCTCAAAGGTAAGTCCCCTTTCCCTCAAACACACACACACACACACACACACACACACACACACACACACACACACACACACACACACACACACACACACACACACACACACACACACANCTCGAAAATGACATTCCCAGAACAAATGACCATATCTTCCCTTCTAAAAGGGTTAAATTAATAATCTTTTTTCTCAAAGTAATGATAAACCTGTCAGTTGGATGCAACTGACAGGTTTATCATTACTTTGAGAAAAAAGATTATTAATTTAACCCTTTTAGAAGGGAAGATATGGTCATTTGTTCTGGGAATGTCATTTTCGAGCCTGAAACCTGAAAAACAGGCTCGGGGTTTAACAGGCTAAGGATCTCGGGAACATTCTCAAATGTAAGAGTTTTCTCCCAAAATAATTGTACATTAAAAATAATTGCTGATTTTATATGTAATTTTCTAGGGTTTAGAAATTATTTATTTAACGGAGCTTGTGTATTGCATATCTAGACGAGTAAACTTACAATTTCTCAAATGAATCGTTTAAGAATGTAAAAAAGAAATGTAAGAGATTACTGGTATACTAACTCACACATTTCAATTTACACGAGGGCTTTGGAGGGACACACATTTTGTGTAGATCATAATAACTAGTTATTCCTGGTGAGTCAATACAGGTGACTTCTCATCCGTCTGCTCTTGTCTCTCTAATTTTGGGAAGAAACGACTTTACACGCATGTGGCACTTCATAATTCTAAGGGAATACATACGTGTGTTTTTAAATAATGTATTAACCTAGACTTAAGTAGCTCATACATGTTTCATCAATAATTTTGCTCATGTTTAAAACGTTATGCAAATCTAAGTGGTCTCTGAAGAATTTAATAAGAATGAACTCATAATATTGCAACAGAAAAGTCAAAATATAGAATAAAGTCTTCATTTAAATAAAAATCGACTGTGGTGAGATATAGAGAATTGGCTGTACGCAGCTCTTTATCAGATGTGGAAAACTAACTATAAACACATAGATCATATTATTTAAACTTTTCACCCCTGACAAATGAAATATGAGCGAGCTGGAGAAAGTCAAACTGGGAAAGATGGTGATTTAGTACGCACTGTATATACCATTTTATATTGCTTTAACATTGACTCCTTCTAATACAATTTGAGGTTGATTTTGTTTCACTTCCTACCTTCTCTCTATTAGGAGTTGAGTCTTCCACCAACGATACCTCCATGGACTGGATCAGTGAGGAGTAGAGCCTCCGAGCCTCAGCATGCTGACCCTGCGCTTCTGTGTGTTGTTGTCTCTCCTCAATAATACTTTAACAATGAAGTAAAGGTCTAAATACCAAGTGTACCTCTAGTTTGTGTTTCTCTTTGAATGCAAACACTTTTTGAAGTGAAAGAAAGAAAGGAGCTAATGTCATCCCATGGTCACTTTCATGGAAACGTTCAAAAACACTGATGTATTGTAAATATTTGTTATACCTTCACTGAGCTCTATATTTATATATTTATTTATTTATGTACTAAAGCACTTTGGGATTTTTTTTTGACCACCGCTTGTTTTTTACACAGATGTTAAATTAATTGGCAAAAGGAAAATAAGTGTGACATTTAGGATGAAAGTTAGCCACTGCATTCTGGGATTCTACCGGCTGTGTTTTTACTATTGTTGTGTGCCTGTTCAATAACCCAACACTGCCTCTTGAGTTCTCAATAAAGGCTTCAATTTGATATTTTCTGAGTCTTTATTACAAACTTATTTTATGCTCTAATGTTCAACAGCACCGTCTCATAACATTTGTTTAGAAACAATAAAGCTTTTTACCAGTGGTGAGCTCAGTGGCGAATTACCATTTTAAAGCTTGTTTTTCCTCGACAATTCAGATTCAAAGGTACTTTACACTCCACTGCACGTTTTAAAAACTATAGTAATTTTGTAGGATCACACTAATTTAGAAAAAAAATAAACATTATTGTATAATATATTATGTGTTAGATAATCTTTGTTGATCCCTTGGTGGAATTCCCAAGCTACCCGCCTGTGTATAGCAATAAGAAGCTCCTCTAACCATTTTAAAGTGATTTATGATCTATTTTATTCTAACATTGGCCATTGTGCAAAATTAGTACTTTTACCTTTTGTTATTTATGTGAATTGATGCAAATCCCTTTGTACTTTTATCAAGTGGTGGAAAGTGATTAAGTATATTTACTTAACTACTACTCTTGAAGTAAATCTGCTTTACTATATCCATTTATTTCCATTTTAGGCTACTTCACACTTCTACTCCACTATTTTTTGGCAGCAAATGTGTAATTTTCACTAATGACAATAGTTACTTTTGTAGGTTAATATTAATAATACAAACATAATTAAACTATAATATGCCATTATTGATGGAGATACCTGATGTGGTATATAATCCTTTACCAGCTGCAAATTAAAATGATGTACACATGAATGCAACACTAATTATTATCCAGTGAAACAAGATACTCCAAAATGGCCACTTTGGATCATGAGTACTTTAAGATTTGGTCCTTACATTTATTTGAAAAGTACCAACTTGAATGCAGGACATTTACTTGTAACAGAGTATTTGAACACTGCTGTATTATTATTAAGATCTGAGTACTTCTTCCACCTCTGCTTTTATTTCAGCAACATTTTAAATGCGGGACATATCCTTGTAACGGAATATTTCCGTAATGTGGAAATATGACTCTTACTTCAGTGAGTATTTAACCCATCTCTACATAGTCAGTTACTGTTTGTTTTTCACAGTGTACAGTGCATAATGATGTTCCATATATACACAGCCAATTACATTTAAAAACATTTATTTTTAATTATGTACAGTTACACATTGGTTGATGTGTAAGGCCTGAGGTTCCTTACAGGTAGAGCAGCTACCGCTCACACTTCCTCAGTTTCACCAGGAAAGCTAAAAATAAAAAAGACATTGAGAATTTATTTATAAAATCAAACTGTTGGAATCAGACTAGAAATGTGAGTCACTGTGTGGCTGTACCTGTGTGGCTCATCTGTTCAGGATGAGGCCGGGCAATGTAAGGAAAACTCCCAAAGGCTGCTGGTTCCTCTGTGATTGTCTCCTCTGAAATATATCAGTAAAGAAAGGCTGAAAAAGATGATCCTTTATGACGAGCACATTGATCTTTGTGTCATATTATACAAACCTTTTTCTGTCTCCTCCCTCTGCTCTCCCTCCGGGACCGGGGCCTTCCTTACACAGTACTTCCCGTCTTTCTGTAGGGCCGGAGCCACCAGCCATTCTCGGACCGGGACCTCGATGATGCGTTCACAGAGCAGAGGGAGCGCCAAACACCGCAGCCCCTCCAGCAGGTCGATGACCTGAGTGATGCTGAGGTGCAGGGAGTGAACGTCAATGATTGGGAGACCATCATGAAAGGTTCAGGTTGGGTTTCACTGTCGTGTCACTAATCAAATTATTGCAAATTTATTTTTCATTCTGCCTTGAATCATGTCAAATTGTAACTTAAATTAATTGACACATTTTACTTTAAGTAGGTTGTCAAATTGTACATGTTTTGCTATTCTTGTATAGTTAGAAGAGAACAAACACCATTCTCATGTCTGAGAGGAAAATATACATCCAGACTCAGCAGCTAGCTAAGCTTAGCTTAGCACAGAGACTTAAAACAGATGGAAACAGCTAGCCTGGCCCTGTCGTCTACAGTGCACTAGTAAACAGCTTATATTTTGTTTTATTTGTAGTAAAGAGTGTAAAAACGACATATTGTGGATGGGTAATTGCATATTTTTACAAAATATATAAAACATTTAACAATATGTTATTGTTAACGGCTTCCAGTGGAGACCAAAACTTGGCAGTTTTACACTTAAAGGAAATGTATGAGATTTAAAATGTTAGGTAGGGCATTTTACAGAAGCTGGCTGATTATGCTACCTTTGGACAGACTCATACAAGCCTTTTCCAGTCTTTGTGCTAAGCTAATATAACCCCATGGTGGCTGTAACTATATCTTCAGCCATATATTAACTACTATATCCTGTGTTATCAATCTTCTCATCCAACTCTCAGAAAGACAGCAATTCCACATATTTTCAAAAACGTTAAAAACTATTCTTTTACACAAAGAAGCAAATGCACTTTTGCCCTATCTTAGGTCTGGTTTTAAAGGAGAGAGTGAGACACTGGAGATACACACTTGGCGAGGTAGACGGCACATACAGCTCCAGTGTGCAGATGTGGAATCACAGTAGGTAGGACCAGGTGAGGGTTGGCCATGTCAAGGGCAACCTGCAACACACACAATGTAGGTGTCACAAAGTCTAATTCCAGGAGTGTTAGTACATATAATCAGGTGTTTCTGTACACTGACCGCATTGAACCCCTGGCCGGCGATGAGCGAGGAGGCTGTGCAGAGGTCGGCTCTGTGAAATTGGACGTTGTTGGGCCACTCCTCCCTTTGCCGCAGACTCCATGCTGTCCTCCAGCGGTTGTAGTTCAGCACCGCTCTCTTGTGGTGGTCCTCCCTGACCTCCACGCTCAGCACGCTGCCCTTATAGCCCACTGGGAGAAACAGAAACAAACAGGGGAAGGTCAATTCTGCTACAGTTCAATATAGCACACAGTGTTCCAGGAATTGCTCAAATAGTTTTCCTATATAATATTAATAATGACGAGTGTTGAGGATATTCGTCATAGAGATGTCTGCCTTCTCTCCAATATAATGGAACTAGATGGCACTTGGCTTGTGGTGCTCAAAGCGCCCAAAAAATACATTTGAAAAACGTAACTTAAATGTCTCTTCCAAGAAATCATGACCAGGTTACTCAAGAATATCCACAGACTTGGGTGAGGGCAGTTTTATATAGGAGCTATTTTCTTTCCCCTACTTAACGTATCACCGTGCAGAACAAACTGACATCTAATCAGCAATCTAAAGTTACACTTCAGCCAAAGATGATGCCATTAGTTTTTATATCTCATGCTCTGTTCCTTCTGTGCTGTAATACATTTAGTAACATGGCAGATAAGAGGGAAAGTATCTACTTTTGATACTGGTGTGAACTGTCACTTAAAGGTAAGACACGTGCATGTAAATAGGGTCATTCTTTTCACAAATAGACATCATCGTGAAACTTAACTTAAAATGTGATGTGTAAATATGCAAATAGGGCATTTTATCATTTGATATGTTCTAATTTCCACACATTTCCAGAACAGGACTTAATTGAAGATATCTGCCTTAGGAAACAACACATTTTGAGAAAACTTCCCTAAAACATATGTATTATAAAATGTTGCCGAACACTAAAGGTAAAAAGGGTAAAGATAACTGATAGATATCACAATGAAACTTGTTGGTAAACTGGTCTAAAAAGAAAAAACATGAATGCAAAATAGCCCAAGCTCTTAAATTAGATGACATGAAAATGTTGCCTGTGAAGTGAGATAAGACAGTATGATGGATGACCTGCTCTGGACAGGAACAGAGACATGGCCCCGGACCCAGATCCTGACTCCAACACGCAGTCTCCTTCTGAGACATCCATCATCATCATCATAGTAGCTGCATCCTGGGGAAAGAGAGAGAAAGAGACAAACCTGTAAGAAGAAAAGGTCAATACCACCTTGAGACACTCTGAAACAGGACTGCTAGGTGTGTACCTTAGGGTAGGCGATGGCAGGCCCCCTCTTCATGCAGAGCACATAATCCTCCAGACTGGGCCTCCGTATGAGGAGGGGAATCCCCCTGCCCGTCTTCAGGAAGCGACCCGCGGGCTGCCCAGCTATGTCATCGTGCAGGATCATCCCCCAGTTGCTATTTAGACGTGCCCCCGCCTCAAGGCCAAACATCTTTTTGAACTCCACCCTGCTTTTCTTACGAAACTCGGCCACCAGCAGCTCCCCGAACACCAGCAAGCTCTCCCCAGGGAGGGTGGGTCGTATCGAACCTTTGTCCTCCTCCTGTTCGTCTGTCTCCATAGCTGTATCTGATGAATGATGGGTCTCTGAGTCCTCCTCATTAGGGATAGCCTCATGTTCCTCTTGTGTGTGGATGTTTGCTTCTTCTTCTGGGTCTTCCTGGTTCTGCTCGTCCCTCAGCTGCATCACCTCGGGGCTCAGGGCTTCGTGGGGCATCAGGCTGCTGATCCTCTCCAGGGGGGACAGGGATCGCCTTTTGGACAATAAGGCTTGCCTGAAGGTCAGGTTGGAGCTCAGGGGTGAGGGGTCCGAGTCGTCTCCCTTGTTCTCGTTACAATTTACAAAGGCAGTTGAAAAAGTCCTTGTTTGCCTCCTGTTACATTTATGCAGTATGAATCTGCTACTGAGTTGTCTTTGACTGCTAATTCTCACAAGTCTGTGCATCAACAGGAGTCCAGCAAAGGGCATTTGCATAGCCATTACTTCAGATTATAGCAAAACCAATGAATCACAAGGAAAGGATATGTCTGGAGATGCCACCTAGAGGCAGATAAACACTAGAAAATGACATATGTAGTTGTTAAATAAATTATAAATGCAAAATAAATTATAGATCAAAGTGATCCTGGTTGAAGTGCCACTTACTGCATTTACAGTAGAACCACCAACAATTCGTCTTCATTTATCCTATGCTCGGCTGTGTTTACTGCTCAAGGAGGTCACCATGCCGGAAAAGACACGTGAAAAAAACGTCATAACTGAGCGACAGGTGTAGTAATTGAAGTCCACCAGCAGATGGCGTTATTATACACAATTCATATTCATAATGGTCCCAAAACTCTAATTGTTATTTCGTGTTCTGTCGTCATAATGGCCTAATGGAGCCACAGAACAGCAATGTCGACTTATTCATTAAACTGCCCAGTTTTAGGGAGTGAACCCGCAAACGGGCAAAAAGTGTAAAAAGGGTTCGTCAACATTAAGGTTGAAAACGTCATATATTGTTGATGCGTTCAAATGCTGTAATAAAAAAACAAATGCTTGGTTTAAATACAATAACGTTGCAGACAGGGTTTGAAGTGATTAAAAAAATAATCAGAGGCTTGTTTGTATTGCTATCTACCTCGTTGATTTATCCAGAATAGCAATATACAATAAAAAGGTGCCTAGTTAATAAAATGCACTTAATGGACATTGCCATTCAGTAAACACTGAAAGGAACCTGTGGGAGCTTCATCAAAAACGAAACCACATTATTTGAATGTGACTGGTAACTTACATATAATATTTAAAAAAATTCTAAATAAACACATCAATTATATGTATCAATTGATTTAGTAATATAATTCAACGTTTAACCATAACTGATAAAAGAGTGATTTATTTGTGTTTAAACTATAGGCCTACGTCGGAATGCAAATTATGGGTCCGGGGCTAAAAGAGCTTGTCAACAAAAACTATTGGTTTGGGATCATTTCAACTGATAAAATGCATTTTAACAAAATAGTATCCCACCAGACTAATTAAATAAATATGAAGAGAAGGCATAATTTCCAAACTCTACTATATAATACCCTTTGTTTTATAGTTATTCAAAATCTAACAACTACAGACCATCTATTATACGAGGAGGACATGAAGGCATCATGAGTCCTGCTTGTTGTCTGGCAGCAGCCAATGGGAGGGGCGGTCCTTCTGACGTGCTAACGCGCATGTGCGTAGCAGTCCACACGTGGGGTCTGTGTAATCCACGCACGCAGACGCAAGCAGCGGCTCAGAAATGGCGGCCGATGTAGGTAGCTCTTCGCTGCAGTTACCCTGCGTATTTTCACCTAAATCACGACAATACTTAGCGTTGTGTGCCCAGGATGGCAGGCTTCGCATTTGGAACACAGATAGCAAAACACTTCACCAAGAATACGTGCCTTCAGCCCATTTGAGTGCCACCTGTATCTGCATAGCCTGGGGACCATGCCGGACAGTCAAGGTACGTGAGGCCCAAGCACTTTCCTGTTAAAGTGCACGCAATAAGACGGGGAAAAGTGTCACTTTAAAAAAAATATATTCTCACAGAAAGCTTTGAACCTTCGCCTATGTGTTAACGCAGACGCATTCATTTTTCTGACACACATATAGCGTCGCCACGTTAGCAGTTAGCTAGCTTCCAACAGCTGCGCAGGACGCACATGTTAGTCCCACATGGTAGTGAAGAAAAGAAGGACAATGTCTTACTTTTTGATTTCAGTGCGAACTAACTCTTAGTAATACTTAAAGCAGCTCCATTAGTCTTACCAATTATTTTCTAAGCATATATAGACCTGTTGGTACTGCAAATAAACTCGTTATTGAAGTTAGCATTAGCCCACCAAAGCTCAGTAGCGTGTGCCACCATGACACTTCTGAGTGGAGAGGTTCACAAAGTGTTGCCTCTGTGGCAATTTATATAACCGTTTCACAAAAGTATATGTGTGTAGTTTATGACTAATAATTTGTATGCCAAGTAATTATGCTTTTAATAATACATGGAATGTGTTTATTGTATCCAGGATGTTTTACTCTTATTTCTACTACTCTCACTAGGTTGTTGAGTAACCTCATTTGATAGCACTAGCAGTATTTGCTTTTATCAGCTTTCAATGCATTTTTGGTATAATATCAAAACAGTTATTGATGTAACAGACTGAGATTTAAATGCAAGTGAATTAATTGCAACCAATGGATCCAAGCATGCACTATCTTTTTATAATACAAAATGTTTTGGTTGATGTTTAGGTAGTTATACATTACAAATATGCTGTGTTTTCAGGAGGGACCTCAGAGGAAGAAGAGGAAATCGGAGGCAGTGCAGGAGGAGAAGGCGGATCTGTTGGCTATGGGCACAGCAGCAGGCAGTGTTCTTATCTACAGTACAGCAAAGGGAGCACTGCACTGTACACTGGTGAGTGAGACTTAAAAAACATGTATCATGGCCTGTAAATTACTCTCTATGTTTTCCCCCTACTTTTCCAAGTACAAAAGTGTATTTTATTGCTGAAATGTTGTTGTGGCTTGTGAAGGACCTTTTTAATCCAAGAAGTATTTTTTTGTATCAAAATATAGTTCTGTTAAAGCTGTGTTGACTCAAAAACAAAATTGTCATAAGTGAAAAACAACAAATCAGAGCCAAGGAGACTGTAATGCAGTGCCAATGACTGCTAGTTTTAAAGCTAATCGGCTTTGATCAATTAAGTTAACATCATTTTATTTATCAACATTATGTTACTGCATTTTTTTGGTTGAATGTTGAAAAATATTTGAGCAAAAACCAAGCACTGGCCGGGGATATTTCTTCATTTAACAGCTTTATTTATTGTTCACTAGAATTTGAGCAATGTTGCTTAGTTTGACCTAGTTTGGCTTTCCTTTGGAGGATATGCATTTTGCAAATGTTACTAGGGATACAGAAGGAGTTAGAGAAAATATATTTTCCATAACTATTCAGGTTTAAGTACTACTGTCAGGACATAATGATAGCAAATCTGAGGCAAGGCTGTCTTTGAAAAAAGTTATCAATTGTAGCTTTTAAGTGAAAGCTATATTTATTCCTTTTATTTGTGTTTAGTTTGATAGGACACCTTGTTAACATCTAGTAACTACTGTTTTCTGTCCCTTGCAGGATGGAGGCCACAGTGGGGGAGTGAACTGTGTCCAGTGGCACCCTGAAGACGGTTTATTATACAGCGGCTCAGATGATACTAACATTGTAGAGTGGGACCTGCAGACGGGCAAGGCAAGAAGGTCAGTATTTGGTTTATAAGAAGATTATAGGAATTAGAAAAGGCCTTTCATTAACGAAAGCCATTTGTGTGATTTTGCAACTAACCTGAAGGCTGTAATCATCAATTTACATGATTATTTAACTCAATTTGAATTGGCAGAAATGAGCAAATGCATACTAGGGCTGTACCCGAATATTCGTTCTTTGGAGTACTATTCAGGTTTCAATTTCGTTATTTGTTTTTTCCCCGTTTATTTTTCAAATTGAATTTATTGAAAACTCCAATATCAACGTAAGAGCTTGTGCCTCTTCGGGGGGTGCTAACACTTAACCATAAACGTTATCGTTTACTTTCTCTGTCTTTATATGTATATATTACTTTTCTCCGTCACAAGCAACAACAACTTCCTGTCAACAGCGCTACCTCTCCTTCAAAATAAAAGCATGTCCATAAATAGGAGACATATACAACTGCAACAAAAGTAACAAACACAATGCCATATCCTTTTAATTTCAAAGAACACCAATTGGGTTACATTAACAAATAACTATAAAACAACAATACTGTAGAATAACAAAATGAATGCCGTGAATACACCGAAATACACGTGTTTTAGCGGTTCACTGCTGATTACTGGAATTATATTACTACATTTTATCTACCTCTGGAACAAGCTAAACTAGTTATAAATATATTTATTCCTTACTGTCGGGTCACTCATTACTGGATCAGTGATTTGCATGAGATACTGATGGGCTGTCAGGGGAGAGAGGAAAAGAGAGCGCTTTCGCTCATTTCTCCCGTGTTATTCTCCAAAGTTAATGTAAACTTGAATAATGTACTTCATTTGAATGTAATAATTATGTTGGTTGTTGTTTGTGGAAGCGCATCATGTATTGAAAAATGAATCCGAACTTTTCGATCCGTTACGATTTATAAACTGAAGCGATATAAAAATGAGCCCCATTAACTGAGTTTTAAATATCAATTTAAATGGAAGATCCCCATAGCCCTCACCCGATCGGTATCGGCCGATACTGATGCTCCAATCCATCGGTCACCGATCGATCGGTGCCCTCTAAAAACTATCCCTGTGGAACAATTGTAGATCATTGATGAACAAAGACAGGGAACGTCCTACCTCCGGTGTCACCCCTCACCTGACACAGGAACCGTGGACTCTGCCAAATAAGTATGTCGCCGGTCTACTATGATTTGTAACCATCTCACCCTGGACGTCTGCCGTTCCGTTACTTCAGTCATAAACCAAATATCTCTAATATCTATAATCTTTTCCGGAAGTAATTGCTTCGGTACACACACTAAAACGTTGATTCGGGACTTCCGACATTAGTAGTTCAAATGCTACTAATAACATTGAGTTAACTTAACCCGTCTTTACTCGTTTACGGTATGTCCCGACATGGGCTTATAAGCAAGAAACCTCATGAGGTGAGTCCAAAAGTTAAAGCAATAGGAACAAAAAAGGGGCGAAATAAGGAAGTTTACTTAAATACTGTGTGAGGGTTATAGTGCATTTCTCGACCACGGGAAAGCCCCCCACGATTTGGTGAATGGTAATTTGCAATAGCAATGAAGAGGCCAGCAATATACATATCATAATGCCAAAGAGGCAGGTGGGTCGTCGTTTGTGTTGTGAGGAGGACCGTTGTCGCGATGGAGAGGAGAGGTTGATTTTCGTCAGGTATTTATCCTCTGTATCTGTTGACGTTGTTTTCATTGGTTTGGTGTTACGGTATAGGAAAATTAAAGTTTCTTGTGGTTACCCAGTAGATTGTTTATTGATAATTTTGTTGCTTATGACATCTTATTGTTTTACTTACGGCACTTATGTGGCCTTCTATGTGCCAAAATCGCCAAGTGACGACTAATGACCTTAATATAATGATGTAAAAGTAGATGGAGACCTTGTTCTGATTTGAATCCACTATTTATATAATAAGGAATGACAGCCCAGTGAGTAATGACCTAGTCACTACCACGTACGTCTATGACTACCCGACAGGGGTCCCCTATCTCCCCTTTTCTCTCTCGCGAAAGCCGAGCTAAAGAGGGCACAATAAGAGGTTTCAATTCATTTGCACTTATTTAACATGAAGCTAAACCTTCACATTATTACATACAACCACAACAAACACCTTCGCGTCAGTACATAACTTTTACTTCAGGCTGAAAAGCTAGGCAATGCTAAATATTTTTACTTTCGCTATTATTTTTACTCAGGGGTAATTGACTCAACATTTATAGTTAAATTTCCTTTCTAGGGGTCATCGGGAGTGGGCTAGCTCATAGCCGGCTATTTGACTACGAGGTTTAGGTAGCGCAGTGCTTAGCTAGTCCACGGGAGATTTGTACGGTTCTCTGTATCTACATCTTTATGTACGGTGAAAGAAGAGACACGCGCCGTTGGTTTGTCTTCGAGCGGTTTACCGAAGTAGCCAGACCCGTCATAAATTCACCGGGCTTTTTCTGTCATTGTAATGTCGCCATACGTTTACTCACAATCCGTCGTTTAGGACGTCGAGGCGGGCGTACCTGCCTGTGCCACTCGCTTCGTTTGTTGTTGTGTGTTCTCAGATCCTGGTATTGTGTGAACGTTTTATAATAATAGATGGAGACCTGTTCTTGATTCCTGATCAATATTTATGTCCCTGTACAGAGTCTTTTAATCTTTATAACATATTTCTCGAAATAAAAGACATTACGTTAAATTTTTTTGTTGTTTTTTACCAGCTCATGTCAGCCTACCTAAAGCATAATGTTTCAGTTGACTTTCTATAACGTCGGAATTTATAATAAATCAATTATGATAGCGACTAATACCGTTAATGTTCGAATCTTTTGATTTATAGGTTATAGATGTATTATATATCTTGATTAGTACCTTTTTCATAATGATCATCCCACATAAGATTGCTTAGTGAACTTAGCAGTATGTAATTTGTTAGCTTTGTGGTACTGTTCCAAAGGACTCGGAACTTTTTTGTGAGTTCCAACCAAGTCATTTTGATTTAGTGTTCATACTCCTTTCTGACGATCTTATTGCTGACGTCCAGGTCTCCTGGCAGTTAACTGTGGGAGGTTAGTCACCTCCATATATCTAGATAGATAATATAATTATATAAAGAGTTTCTCGTTACGAAAAGTAGTCTCTATCGTCAGAAGGGTATGAACACTAAATCAAATGACTTGAAGTTCGACCACAAAAAGTCCGCTCTTTTGGCCCAACGTCCACAAAAGCTCAATTAATCTGCTAAGTTCCACTAAGCAACTTGTGGGATGATCACTATGACAAAAGTACATGAAGCATTATAATCTCTATCCCTATAAACTCAAAGAAATTCGACATAACGTATTAGTCGCTTATAATTTATTACTTTCGAACGGCTTATAAAGTCCAACTAACATTACTTAGGTCTTACAACTGTAAAAACAACACAAAAAATTTAACGTAATGTCCTTTTATTTTCTGAAATAGTGTTAATAAGATTAAGAGACTCTGTCAGGACATAAATATTGACATCAAAATCGAACAAGGTCTCAATCTATTTTATCGTTCACACAGATCCGATTGAGAAACCACACACAACGAGGCGAGTGGCCAGGCAGTGTCGAACCGCCGCTCGACGTCCTAAAGACGAGTGTGAGAACGTATGGCGATAACGAATGCAGAAAAAGCGCCCGTGGAATTTTATGACGGTCCTGGCTACTTCGGTAAACCGCCTCGAACACAACGCGCGTGTCTTCTTTTCACAGTACATAAGATGCCAGTAC